CATCCTCCGCCTTCGGTCGAGCAATGCGCCAAGCGGAAAGCGCTCCACCAGATGAATTTGTGGAGTTCAACACGTTCTACCTGAACGCTGGCGATGCATTGCCGCCCTTGGCACCACAAGCGTATTTCACATACGCAAAAGATGAGACCATCCACCAGGTGCTGCAGGACATCCATACCCACATCGGGCAGATGCTTCGCTCGAAGGTGTGGCCCTTTGGATTCGACCTCCTCCACCACCTCCAGTCCCAGTCGCAGCGATCATGGACTTCGACCCAGTTGCTTCATCAGAATCAGAGGGTTCCAAGGCAGCTGCCGAGCCGGTGGACCAACCAGACGAAGAACCTGTTGCCCATCCTGCGGTGCCAGCCCATCCTGAGGCTTTGCGATTTGAGCCTCTACACGCCAGGTTGGTGCTCCCTCCAGCCCTGCAAACCCAGCTGGAGATGCAGTTGAACTGCGCCATCGAACAAGCGGCCACCTACTACGAAGAACAGGAGCGCTTGACACCTGAGGCTGCACTCAATGAGGCACGATCCCGTGCATGGTTTCACCTGCGGAACATGACAGCAGTCAGCCTTCGGCAGACAAAGCGCAGTCGCGGAGCAGTGGAACCTAGTGCCAGCTCTTCTTCGACTGGACAGGTGTAAATCATCGGCTTCACCCGGGACATCGACATCCTCATCACCAATGTCAGCAAAAATTTTTCTGGTTCACGTTTTTGGCCAATCGGCTGCGTGCGCCAATCAACTGTTCCATTGCGGATTTTCATTTTTTAAACAGCCATGTCAACAAAGACACAGAGCTGCAAATCTTTAGCAAGTGTGGCATCTAGAGCCATTGCAAGCATCGACATGAAGTCCATGCAAAAATTCACATCAGAGTGAAGATCGTTGACACAGCAGCCATTGACTACAGACATCAGAGTCTTGCTCATTTCACATTGCGTTGACATTCAGCAGTCGCTCTGCCTTCATTTTTGTTTTTTGGCTTTAGTTTTGATATGTCATTTGGCCGGTCGCGCTGGGGCAATAGATCAAGGGGGATTGTGCGGTCCTCAACACGACCCAAAATTATGACAATGAAATCCAAGTGAACATTCACAGAATCAGATGGAGAAATAAAATCATCCTGGAATCTTATGCCCAGGATGAAACTGGCGAAGCCTGGACCTCAAGTTTGAGACATCAGAGTCTTAGAACGGAAATGTTGGCTAGGGGATTCACATCAATTGTGGCATCAGAGTCAGAAAGATGTAGTTGAGTGTGAAGATAACTCATCGAAAATCCCAAGGTTGGAAAAGAGCCATCAGAGGCCGCGAGGGTCAAGATTTCAAAGATTGGCACTTTGACATCAGAGTTTAAGTCGCTAACCGTTGCATCAGAGCAACTCTGGGAGGCCTTGACAAGATCATCCCGTGCAGAAGATGGAGATCGACCTCAGGTGGATCTTGGAGAAGGACCTGCAAACACATCAATCAGAAGTTGTGTAATGCAAAAAGTCCAGGCTGAAACAGACGACAGAGTCTGTTAGCTGCCCGGATGAGGAGCCGTGGACGAGAGGCAACAGAAGCCTTCGAGTCCTGTGGAGACCTCAACGAGCAGTGTAATGCAAGCCTTTTTGAAAATTGTGGACCAGCGAACCCCTTACTCATTTCATAAATGACAGTTCTTGAAATTTAGGTGGTTGGTGACAATCTGCCAAAGGCGGGGTAGTTGACTTCGAAATGGCAGAACTTGTTAAGAGTGATATAGCCGTTAATACCATAGAAGTGTTGCAGTGATAATGAATCGGCCCTGTCAGGAAGACCTGGAGGCCAGGATGAGAGCGACGGAGATGGACCAGTCTCCCGTGCATCCGCCCGCCTTGCATCCGAAGTGTACAGAACCAGCATCCGAGCATCCGGCCTCTGCATTCGAAGCTGCCTCGGAGGGGTCCGATAGGTTTCCTTGGGGTGATGTTGAGGGCTTTGATGAGGATGGTAATCAATATTGGGAGCATGACCAGCCCTCTGATTATGAGCCATCTGAACCTATAGATATCACTGTCTCAGACACCATGAAAGAAACACCAGTGGATCCTGTTAGCCAAACATCTTGGAAACGGTTTGCACAGACGGAGTTGGTGGCATCAGAAGTTAGGAACTTGAAACAGGCCCGAATGATGAGCTTGAATGATTCCTTCTTAGCCGAGAGCCCCTTCGCTTCGATGTCTTCGATGTTTGATATGTCAGAGGGGACGGTCTCAAAATCCTTACACAACATCCGGAATCGACTCCTGATTCTAGAGGCAGTGAGGAAGCAATCCAGAGGTTGTCATATGTCCGGAGGGTTAGGATCGCTCGGTCAGATGACGACTTGAGAGACGCAAGCATTTCCAAGTTGAAGAAAATCATACTCTTGGAGCCGGCTACCACGAGGCTAGGAGAGCTGTTAGTGCCCGTTTCAACACGACCATTGTCTGAGGTTGAAATCCGTAGGTCGCTTGAGCAAGCTTTCTCGAAGAAATCATCAAACACTCTTTATAAAAGAGCATGTGCCCTTTCGAGGTACGTAGAAGGGTTCCTCCTTCTCAATCACAGAGGATCCCCGCTCAGATTGAAGGAATTTGACATTTATAGCTACCTAGGGCATTTGGAAAATGAAAGAGCTGGTGCTACAGCCGCATCAAGTTTCATTGAAGCTTTGAGATTTCTGGATTCGGTGGCAGTGCTGACGTGTGCCGACCTGGGGCGAGTCCTATCCCCCAGAATCACCGGATTTGCACATCAACAGTTTCTTCGCAAGGCTCCTCTCAAACAAAAGGACCCGGTGCCGTGTTTGGTGATTGCAGAATTGGAAAAGCTCTTGCTCAGACAGGAGGACAAGGTCCAGATTTGCATCCTTGGCCAACTTTTGTGGTGCTTTCATGCGGCGAGCCGCTGGTCAGATGCGTTGAGGCTCCAAAGTCTGAAACTTGAAAAGGTGAAAGACGTAGCCCTGGTCACAGGTGAAGCACTTGGATCAAAGACGTCAATGACAAAAGAGACTCAAACAAGATTGCTACCATATGTTGCCATCGGCACGGGAGTGAGTGGCCTCCTTTGGGCGGAGAAGTGGCTTGATGCCAGAGTCGCAGAGCTCGGAAGAGAGCCGGATCCCTTCCTTCCGTCCTTCTCATGCAGAACAGGTAGGTGGGCGTTGACGCCGATGTCAAGCTCGGAAGCTGGGGGATATCTTCAAGATTTCGTGGAAGAAGTCAAAGCCTTGATGGAACCATTCCTAAAGGTCGACATCAAAAATCTGGGAACCCATTCCTTGAAGACGGGACTGTTGACAATGGCAGCCAGATCGACGTCCATCAAGTTCAGCATGTCTGAAAGGAGAACTCTGGGCCATCACATCAAGCCTGGCGATCGCTCTGTGCTGACATACAGTCGAGAGGCGTATACCAGTTTGTACGCAAAAATCTTGGCCTGTTTTAGGGAAATACAGCTCGGAACCTTTCGTCCTGACTCGACAGCCTTAGAGATTATCGATGCAGCCGACACCATGACCTCCGGGCTTTCCGTTCAGCAGGAGAATATCCACCTTTGAAATGTCATGAGGAATCTATAGTTAGGAAGCCATTCCCCGGGGGGCAAGAAGTAAATTGCATAGTCCATCGAAAGAGCGGAATTGTACACGGAGTGCAATCGAATGGTGCCACGACCTTGTGTGGCAGACATGTCTCCGATAACTACATTTCCTTAGAAAAAGCAGCCGTAGATGACATGGAATGTTGCATCCTGTGCGGATGCCATTTGGGCAGCTTGGCCGAGTGAGAAAAAAGAGCGTCAAGGCTTGATCGAAAGTCAGGGTTGCTGAGAATGTCATGTACATGAGTCGATTGAACATGTCAACCGAAGTGCAGAGCTTAATCAGTTGTGAGCAGGTGTGGCATGTGAATCAGATGATCAACAGAGATCATGGGCCCTGGCTCACAGCAGTAATAAACGGCAACTGAGCCCCCCTTCATATCTCTCGATCATAGCGATGGCAAGGACTGCAATTGAAACCTTTCTTATCACAATTTGTGCTTGGTTGGAGCTTGATCGATCTATGACAACCGAGTTATTGTACAAAGTCGAGGGGATGTTTGACTACTTAGCAAAGGTTATCAAGCATATCGGCTTTTCGTGCATCACGGAGCACCTCACCACTGTGTGGGTTTTGTCAAGACGTGCCTTGTGTGTAATGCGAGGGGTTCCTGTAGAACACACTGAGAACATCACCATCGCTTCACTCGGCACTATTTGTCAGCGACCCAGAGGATTTCGGGCCTTGCGAGATTTGGACAGGACAACACTGACCCTTGAAATCGACATGGCATTGTCGGTGTTAGAGGAATGGATACTTGCGTGTCCTCCAGAGTCTAATCCAATCTAATCCAATCCAATCTAGTCTAATCTAATCTAATCTAATCTTATCTTATCTATCTATCTATCTATCCATCTATCTATCTATCTATCTATCTATCTATCGATTAAATATATCTATCTATCTATCTATCTGTCTATCTATCTATCTATCTATCTATCTATCTATCTATCTATCTATCTATCTATCTATCTATCTATCTATCTATCTATCTATCTATCTATCTATCTATCTATCTATCTATCTATCTATCTTATCTATCTATCTATCTATCTATCTATCGATTAAATATATCTATCTATCTATCTAATCTAATCCAATCTAATCCAATCCAATCTAATCTAATCTAATCTTATCTTTTTTATTTATCTATCTATCTATCTATCGATTAAATATATCTATCTATCTATCTAATCTAATCCAATCCAATCTAATCTAACCTTATCTTATCTTATCTTATCTATCTATCTATCTATCGATCTATCTATCTATCTATCTATCGATTAAATATATCTATCTATCTATCTATCTATCTTATCTTATCTTATCTTATCTTATTTATCTATCTATCTACACACAACTTGTCCTTTTTCCACCTCTCGAGGTAGCCGATGCCTTTTCCGAGTTCTTGGGCCTCCGGGGGAACACCACGGCCGATGGCATGCAGAATCGCCGCGACAAACAGGTCCAGCAGGACGCCGTGAAGGCTGCTGGACTGCGCGCGGTGCGCTCCGTTTGCGGTCGCCCGTCGAGCCTCCATGGGCAGTTTTGGGAGACCCAGAAGCCTTGTAAAACACAAGGGTGCAGGTGTACACTGTATCCCAAAAATTGAGACAATGGGAAACAATGGCACATGTTAATTTTGTAAATAATTTTGTGTTTCTGGAAAGGAGTTGTTTTTTTTTTAAGGCCAAAAAGTGTGAGGGGATTGTTGATCTGTTTTTGTGGGAATATTTTGGGCAGGAGATGATGGGCGATGGGGTATGAGAGGCAAGGGTCGGCCACCCAACTCACGGCAGAAACCTCGGTCCATCCAGAGGTGTTGCTTTGTCTGTTTCATTTTTAGAATTTTGGATATCCCCAAAACAGCCAAACAGAGGAGTTTGGTGATCGTCATGAGACGTGGAGCACGAGCTCACTTGGATGTATATACGTCCAAGTTTGAAAGTGCTTCAAAATCCAGACAATTACATTGCATGATATCATATATATATATAATATTACATTATATATTATATTATATATATGTATATATTTATTTTACTAATATTGTATTGTGTTCGATTCTATTCTATGTAATCTATTCCATTCTACTATTTTATATCATATTATATTATTATATTATATTTTATCATTTTATATCATATTGCATCATATTAAATCATATTATGTCATATTATATTTTATTGTATTGTATTATATTGTATTGTTATTAGATATCATTATTATATTATTATATTTTTTATAGTATTATATTATTATTACTACATTATAATATTATAATATTATAATATTATAATATTATAATATTATAATATTATAATATTATAATATTATAATATTATATTATTTTACTATTATATTATTATATTTTTATGTTATTATATTATTATATTTTTATATTTTTATATTATTAGATTATTATATTGTTATATTATTATATTATTTTACTATTCTTATATTCTTATATAATTATATTTTTATATTCTTATATTCTTATACTCTTATATTCCTATATTATTATATTATTTTATTTTTTAATATTATTTTATTATTTTACTATTCTATTATTATATTATTATATTGTTATATTATTTTATGCTATGTTACATCATATATTATTTGTTAGATTATCATATTCTTTTATATTATTATTACTATATTATGTCATATTATTATATTATTATACTATTGTATTATTAAATTTTTATATCATTATATTCTTATTATTATTCTTGTATTACTATATTCTTATATTATTATACTATTATATTATTATATTCTTATGCTATATTCTTATATTGTATTCTTATATTCTTATATTCTTATATTATCATATTAGTATACTATTGTATTATTATTTTATTATATTATCATATTATTATATTATAATTTTAAATTATATTAAATTATATTAAATTATCATATCATATCATATAATATCATATAATATCATATAATATCATATAATATCATATTATATTAAATTACATTATATTATATTATATTATGTTATATTATATTATATTACATTATATTATATTATATTACATTATATTATATTAAACTATATCAAATTATCATATCATATCATATAATATCACATTATCTTATATTATATCATATAATATTATATTATATTATAAGGTACCATTCATGACTTCCCAGGTCGAAATTGGGACGAGGTGCGGCACTTCACCGAGACCGAGAGTTTCCCCATCATCGTGAAACCTGTGGAATCTTCGGGGTCAGATGGGGTGAAACTTTGTCACAGCAAGAGTGAGGCGCTGATGGGCCAGGTGGATGGAATACCAGAGATTTTTCAATAAGAATTGGGGATGAATGATGGAATTCGCCAGCTATTTTGATGTGAAAATGAGCATCCACAGAAAATCGACTGTAACTTTGTGAAGGGGTACTGTATCTATAGTCATGTTGGCAACCAGATATGTTGGTTGGATGACAATTAGCCATCAATGTGGGTCATCTTGTCAAGTCTGGGATAACAACCCCGTGTGGGATTTGGAATTTGGATATCATCTTTTTTGGATGACTGACCTCCTTGCAGAGATTTCAACTCTATTTACAAATTGATATACTAAATCCAAACTGCACTAGTATCCAATGTCGACCTGCATCTGGGAAGATCTTGCTAAGTGCGGGAAGTGGATGGAAGTGGATCTTCCAATTTATGGCGAGTCAAAATTGTGGATCGTTCCACAGACGTTTGGATCGGGGAATCACTGTTTTTTTTTGGTTGGAATGGGGGGTCTCGATCATCAGTGGTCGTCTTCATCCGGACTTTATCATTTGACTCATAGCCGTCATAGCCATTTTTCTTCAATCAAGTTTTCCAAGTGTCCAGGGAGTCCAGTCTTCCCCTCATGTTTTTTCCCCAGCTGATGGCCACCGTGCCAGGCAGAAACTCACTTTCAGCTCCTTATGACCTCTCACCGCAAGTGCGGATCGCAGCAGGCCGCAGTCTTGCTGCAGGAGTACTTGAAAGGCAAGGAGTACATTTTGGACCACGTCTCCCGTGATGGCGTTCACAAGACCACCTTGGTTTGGGCCCTTTGGCTGTTGGAACGCTGGTGGGAGTGGAACTCAGGTGCCGAAAAAGAATGGTAGTAGTTGTTGGACATGTGAAGATTGAAACTCCGGTCATTTCATCAGTTGAAGTCTCAAAGCACAGGAAAAAACATGTTTGAACCTTCAGTTTGTCTTGAAATCAGTCGCTCAACCTTCACAACCTTTCCAGCACCCCGAATCAACTCCCTGTGATGATCTCTTCCCCTTTTTTGGAGTGTCTTCCCCCCACGAAACCTGGGCTGAAACCACTGAAACCTGGGACTTTTGCATCTTTTTTGTCACATGTATAGTAGCTTCACCTCGCTCTCTCTCAAGAAATCGTAGCTGAAAGGCAATCCATTGTTGCACCCCTCCCAAAGCTCTTTGTGAATCCCATTGGTTTGCCATTGGTTTGCCCATTTTTTTCCTGGTCCTTCACCTTGCCAGGTCTACGACCGGCGCCCGGCCAACGGCGCGGGCTTCGTCTGCTTCGGGCAGCAGTGCGTGGCCTCCGACTCCGAGGTGGCACGGGAGCTGATCCAATACACACGCGGCTGTTTGGATGCCCTGAAGATCACCGATGGGGCCACACACACCGAGGCGCCAAGGGCCACCAGGGCAGAGGGCCGATGGGGATGGGGTTTGGAGATGTTTGAGATGTTTGGAGTGGATTTGAGGATTTAAAAATGATTTAAATGTATGCAATGTAAATGTGTGGATGGAATGGGGCCATGTTTAACAAAACCAAATGGTGAATTTGTTTGGGTAGGTTTGCAACGATGATTTGAGTGTAACTGGACAGTGATTCATCATATGAAAGATGATTGGATGGCACGGGGTGGGGCATGCATGTTTTGAATTTGGAATTTAAGCAACAATAATTTGGGTATATCAGTTGGGGATGTGAACAAAATGATGCTGAATTATGATATTTGCTCAACTGTGGCCAAATCGTTGTCCACTTCTGTGATCATTTGGATACGCCATTAGTGGGTTGCATCAATCTGAAACCCTAGTTATTCATCAGCTCAAATCATTCAATCGACCTTTGAGGATTATGCTGTTCAGTTTCCCCAAAATTCCCTGCTGAGTCTCACGCCGAAGTGGTTTTGAAAAATCTCGCCTCGCCGGAATCCCGTGGAATCCTGGGGTTTCTCAGCTCGGAATCCAATCCTCCCAGGTGATGATGACCGAGACCGGTCCCTGCTTGGTCGAGGTCAACAGCCGTTGCCACGGAGCCGCTGGATCCTGGATGCCCCTGGCTCGAGCGCTCACCGGCTACACCCAGGCGACAGGATTTGGCCGTGAAAATCATCCATTTGAAGAGGAAAGTAGCCCTCATTTGGCAGGCTGAAAATGTCAGTTTGGTAATCCCATTATCAATTAATCGGAATATCCCATATTTTCATACACCCCAATGAATTGTTCCCATTTTCCGACCATATGACATACTCTCAATTCGTGGGTCCTCAGATGAATAGATCGAATAGATTTCACCAGGCTCGGTTTCCGGCTTTCCGGCTGCGACTCAGGTGGATGCATGCGTGGATGCTTTCTTGGATGAAAACGCCTTCGCAGGACTGTGGACTGGACCATGAGGTCGAGTTTGCCAAGTGGCCAAGAAATGTGGGGTTGCCGCATCATCAAATGGTGTCAAAGGATGAATCCAAGCCATTTCAGGCCGTTTCAGGATCAACATGGATCAACCAACCCCCAAATGGCCATCATTGGACACCTGGAGGACTGCCTGACGTACCATTGCCATTCCAAGCCTCCGGACAAGTGTCAATGCTGATCTCTTATCATGAGGGTGAGGTGCGATGGTTCAAACCGTTTTTACTGTAAGATCTGTAAGTGTTGGGAAATCCTAAGCTGGAAGAAAGAGCTGCGCAGTTCGAAATTGTTTTTGCATACTTTCCGATTGGAACCATGCAGCACATCTTTCCTACCCAGATCCCCCAACCGTTTGGAAATTCATCATCATTTTCCCCGTTCATATGGCAATTTTGGAGGTGTATACCCTATTTCCATGGCTTGAAACATGAAACAAGTGGACGGTAGTTGGAGATACTTCCCAATAGACCGTGGTGTTTCAATTTGGGACATCTCAGCCTCCCTGACTGGTTTTGGATTGGGAGATGCAGCGCAATTGTTTAGCTTTGAAGGGCGAGCAAACCTCCAAGTAGAAACAAAGCAGGAACCGCAAAGAGGGTCACAACCAGAAATCGCGGGAAGTAGTTCTACCCTAGCGCTTGTTGGTGATATCAGACATTAATTGCTCCCTTGGTGACACGAGATCACTGCTACATTTTCATACATTTTCGGTTGATTACGTTTATATATATATATTATAGATGTTACATACGTACATCATTAGCATCTCCCATTCTCCATCATTCTCCTCGGTGTCGCAGGTGGAATCCACCCACTTTCACAAAGTGCGGGAGTTGTCTTCCGTGGTCTTCTTGGAAGAATTCCTTCAGGCCGGTGGACGATTGGAGAAGACCGTGGATCTCTTTGGTCTCGTGGGGATGTGCGTCTTGGTGCACTCGGACCCCATGGTGCTAGCGACCTGACCTGGTGGGTTGGAGCGACCTGAAATGGGGGAGTTCAGCAACATGCGGAGGGGGAAAGTTGCTGAAATACTATTAATTTCATAGGATTTGATATAAAGAACTAGTTTTTTTTGGGGTTGATTCAAGCAGTCTATGGGGAGATGATGGGGATCGGTTGTTTGATAGAGCCATTATTCCATCTGCACAATCATATAAAGATGGTAAATGCTATTCTAGCATTTTTTGGTATGGGCACCCTTTCACTGGCCATTGAAGGATGCGGGGCTAAGGTTTGCTTGTCTCCCAATGAAAAAGGTGGGGTTTCCCCTGGCCTCGTCGCCAAACCCAAAGGCAAGCGACCTTGCAACCATTCGCTCCATGGAGGAAAACGGCTCCCTGTTTGTTTTGGCAAACTGAGCTGGGTAATTATGTGGAGTTTGTTTTTTGCTGAGAAGCGATAGTTTGCTCGTTTTTGGTCGGATCAATCCGAGGGGCGGGGGAGGGGGGTACCCCCTCCCCCCTCCTCACCAGGAGAAGATATGTGCTCGAATCCAAGGGGGGGGGGACCCCCCCTAAGTGCTCTTCTCGCCGGTAATCGCACAGCGCGAAAATTTGCAAAACTTTTCGCAAAAAGTCAAAAAGTCAAAAAGTTTTCGACTTTTCAAATTTTTCGATTTTTTCGACTTTTCAAGCAGAAATCTCCTGGAATGTGAACTTTTCGACTTTTCGACTTTTCGAATTTTTCGAACTTTTCGAACTTTTCGACTTTTCAACTTTTCGAATTTTTCGAATTTTCGACTTTTCGAGCAGAAACCTCCTGGAATCTGAACTTTTCGACTTTTCGAATTTTTCGAACTTTTCGAACTTTTCAACTTTTCGGGTGAAACTTTTCTACCACGGTTGGAGTTTTCAGCGAAAAGTTGCGTTTGAACCACCCAAACAATACACCAAACTGGGTACGCAAGGGTTCCTGTCTTATCATCTATCCTCCACCAGAAGGCAAGCGAGGTCCAGGTTTTGTGGGTCGCGAAAATGCCTAGCCAGAAACCCACAAAAAGGCCGCATCGATTTGGGTTGAGATGGGTAGTTGTTAAATGGATGTGTAAATAAAGTAATAATATCCCCGGTAAGGCTACACATATAATACTATACCATGTTATTTTATATAATTTGACATTAAGTTGCATTATGCTACATTATGAAATATTTTTCTATAACACACAACACATCACAAAACCATATCATTCTGTATGACATCCCATGATGTTACCGGTATGTTATATTGCATTATTTTATATTGCATTATTTTATATTGCATTATAACTATATAAAACATATTATGTATAAACATATTTTACCTATGATATTATATTATATTGTATCAGATGATATTTTACCATATTATATTATACTATGCTCTATTATAATATTTTATATTATATTGGATCTTATATTATTTTTTTATTTTATTATGAAATATATTGTATATTATTTTATTGTAGCATAATATGTTTTAATATATTATATTATATTATTATATTTTATTATATTATATATTATATCATAATATATTATTATTTACTATATTATACTATATTATATTATATTACATTATATTATATTACATTATATTATATTATATTATATTGTATAATATTTTTATATTGTATTATATTCTATTTTATTTTATCATATTGTATTATATCATATTAAAATAAATAATATCATACTATTTTATATCATATTTTTAAATATATGATATTGTATTATATTATACTATATTTTTTTTAGTGCTAGTCAATATATATATATATATTTATTGATTTATATTTACATTATCAGTATCATGATAACTCAGAACTATGCAACTGTTCCTTACTTATTTATTGTTATTATTTTATCAAGAACGCATACATGACTTTCAAAGTCCAGTTTTGTTGAATATGAAGTGCATTGCACATGTCATGTCCAACCAAGATCAGTGGACTTTTATATATGTTGTTATTCTTTTTTTGCCACGCTACTGAAATTTCTCTTGAACTTTCCACGCATACGTCATGCTACGCTACTGTAAGTTCTCTTGAACTTTCCATTCATGCGTCATGCTAAGCTACTGTAAGTTCTCTTGAACTTTCCACTCATGCCTAATACCACGCTACTGAAAGTTCTCTTGAACTTTCCACGCATATGTCATGCTACGCTACTGTAAGTTCTCTTGACCTGTAAGTTCTCTTGAACTTTCCACTCATGCGTCATGCTACGCTACTGTAAGTTTTTTGAACCTTCCATGCGTACGTCATGCTACGCTACTTTAAGTTCTCTTGAACTTTCCACTCATGCATCATGCTAGGCTACTATAAGTTCTCTTGAACTTTCCATGCATATGTCATGCTACGCTACTGTAAGTTCTCTTGAACTTTCCATTTATGCGTCATGCTACGCTACTGTAAGTACTCTTGAACTTTCCATTCATGCGTCATGCTACGCTACTGTAAGTTCTCTTGAACTTTCCATTTATGCGTCATGCTACGCTACTGTAGGTGCGCTTGAACTTTCCATTCATGCGTCATGCTACGCTACTGTAAGTACTCTTGAACTTTCCATTCATGCGTCATGCTACGCTACTGTAGGTTTTCTTGAACTTTCCATGCATACGTCATGCTACGCTACTGTAAGATCTCTTGAACTTTCCATGCATACGTCATGCTACGCTACTGTAAGTTCTCTTGAACTTTCCACTCATGCCTCATGCTACGCTACTGTAAGTTCTCTTGAACTCTCCATGCATACGTCATGCTACTCTACTGTCAGATCTCTTGAACTTTCCATGCATGCGTCATGCTACTCTACTGTAAGATCTCTTGAACTTTCCATGCATGCGTCATGCTACGCTTGTAGGTTCTCTTGAAGTTTCCACTCATGCGTCATGCTACGCTACTGTAGGTGCGCTTGAACTTTCCATTCGTGCGTCAGAAGATGACGCAAAACATGCCACATCGAATTAGCTTCAGAATCGGCCAAAAAACCAAAAATGCTGGTTTCGTCTAGGCGAAATGCCTGTTTTTGAAAATCTTGAACTTTCCATTCGTGCGTCAAAAGATGACGCAAAACATGTCACGTCGAATTAGTTTCAGAATCGGCAAAAAACCCAAAAATGCTAGTTTCGTCTAGGCGAAATGCCTGTTTTGAAAAACTGCACCAGAATAAGGGGTTAACGGCCTTAAATATCACATCAAACAAATTCCTATTTGCACGAGCACATCATATATGATCCATGACACCCCGTTGATCACAAAAAACCCACGGCCTCCTAGAGGCCGTGCTCCTAGTTAGTAGTTGTAGGCAAAACCCATCAAAACCCTGTTGGTTGATCAGGGTCATGCTGCCCCATCCCTGTGGAATCCTTGCGACACAACCAGAAAGCCTCAGTTTGGCTGCGCCGAACACTGTTTCACTCCTCAAACCGGCACAGTAGCTGGAAACTAATCTTGAGACGCTTGGAGAGTGCTATTTGCCCCCTAAACTGGTAGCAAGATGTTGCAAGATGAGTTGCATTGGCCTCTAAATTGGTTGCAACTCAAGACAGTTAGTGACAGTAGTGGCCCTGGTGGCCCTGAGCCAAATACCTGCTCAGCAATTTTGTGGGTTTTCAGTATCCAGCTTTCAAAACCCACAAAACCAACACAAAAAAATAGAGAAACCCACTAATTACATGAGCAACACAAAATCTAATCTTGATACACTGATTGCAAGTTTCCTGCTCCCCTGGAAAGTAACCAGCCAGTCGACCGGGAAAGAGCAACCAAACAACCATAAAAAGCCCTGTGCGTGGATACTGCCTGTGCTCCAATGCCTCCAAAACCCCACGGGGTTTATCACTCTTCCAGGGAAAATTTTCGCAAAAAGTCAAAAAGCCAAAAAGTTTTCGACTTTTCGAATTTTTCGAATTTTTCGAATTGTTCGAATTTTTCGACACTTCGACTTTTCGACTTTTCGAATTTTTCGATTTTTTCGACTTTTCGAGCCGAAATCTCCTGGCATGTGAACTTTTCGACTTTTCGACTTTTCGACTTTTCGAGGGCAAAAATCGTGATTTTCACGGTGTGACCGATACCAGCCAGAAGAGCACACAGGACCCCCCTCCCCCCCCCTCCTGCAATGCTCTAAAGGTGGGGGGAGGGCCTGAAGAGGGGCCCTAGCGTCTACTTCAAGATCAGCTAAGGCGTCTTCCCCAATGACAGCACTCTTTTACTCTCAGCCTGTTGCCGGTCAGTGCTTGTCTACAGGGTTACTCTATATACCTCTTGAGCCTTGAAGGGCGCATATAAATGTGCTCAATACTCATGCATGTACCTATGTAGGTATTCGGTCGAAACAAAAACACAGGCACAAATTCAAAAGCAATGAGTAGAGCACTACGCCTTGCCGTACCCAATTGGTATTAAGAGTATCTTCCTGACTTCTCTACACAATGGCAAATAGCAAAAGAAACCGGAGTTACGCAGTGGCTTCGAATTGAAAAACACGTGAAAGCAGCGAATGTCCTAAGGACATGTCGAAAAGAACAGCGGATTCGCTAATTTTTCCAGTAGTGACCAATGGTGCTTCGCGCACGGTCTCTCCACAGGCAAAATGCCTCGCTCTACCGGTGAAAGTTCGAATTGAAAAGTTCGGGTTCGCAAGATTCAGAAATTTCAGGTCATACGAAAACAATTGACCAAATCACGAAATAAACGGAAATAGCGGATCTCCAAAGTTGCTCATTCAAGCAAACAATGGACTGAAATCGAAGTTGGTAAAATTTTTGGAGTTCGCTCCATTCGGAGTGGTCTGCTCGCCGGATGATTCATGGAGATAAATGTGTATAGTATCTCTATTTACAAGAGTATCTATTTTACATTAAATTGAAGTTCAGACACTTGTGGCATTATCTCTATCTAAAAGAGTATATGCCATCTGTGTGAAATAAGTTGAACGCACAGAAAAACTGTACATGGCTTCTCATGCTGTGTTATCTTCAATTAAAGAAGTGTACACTCACTCATCGCCACTCACTTGATCTCCATGGTCTGGACGCTGAAGATGAGGATCCACCCCACTCTGTGTTGCCCTGATACGTCGATGCTTGATCTTCATATGCCTTTCTCTTTTTCTCCTTCTGTCTTTCCTTTCTTGAATCAGCATACTGCTTCTTCTTGTAGGCCTGTTTGTAATGATGTCGTTCATTCCATGACATATCAGAAGGATCAAGATGAATAAGAATTGGATTATGAGCATCGCGATCATTTGGAGCAACCATGAAGATGTTGTGATCACCATGTAAGCAAGTTTCATTTACCTTGAAGTAAAATTCACCCACATAGTTCATGTGATCTTCATCCTCAAAGTCTTCTTGGTGTTCCTCACACATCAAACGTGAATGACCCCACTCAACAACTGTTAACATACAACAATCACCTTTACCATTTGTC